CCGACCCCGCCGCGGACCCCGGGGACCCCGCCGTGGGCGTTGGAGGACGTCATCGACATGAAGAAGGATGATTTGCAGGAGATCGGCCGCGTGCGTTGTCGCGCGATCCCGCCGCCCGTAGCGCGTGTATCTGCGATCTGCGCGGCGCTAAAGGCTAAAGCCTTAGCGAGAGCTTCATTTTGAAATTGGCGTGCCCTCCATCAGCGCAGTTGTTCGGGATTTTTGAAACGAATGTGCGCGGCGTTCAGGCGAGAAACATGCTGCGCGCTTGGAGCTGCGCGCAAGCGCGGTGGCGGACCAGCCCACTTTCGCCGAGCCCGCCGCCTTCGCCCCACCCGAGCTGCTTGAGCTACGACAGCATGTGCGACGTCTGGAGGGCAGATCCTGAACACGAACACGGTGAAAGTGAAATGAGGGCGGAGTTGGCGGCCAGCATCGCGGCGACGCAGTACACCTCGTACTACGACGACGGCGCCTACGAGTCGGACGACAGCTACGACTCTCTCAGAGACGTCTGGAGGTCTCATCCCCCCAGCCCCCGCGAGGAGGCTTACACGAGACGTCTGGCGGAGCGCCTGCACAAGATGGTTGAATGGGCGCCGCCGCCGCGGCCGCAGCAGCTGCCGCAGCAGCTGCCGCAGCGGCAGCCTGTGCTCGGAGGCAAGCGCAGCAAGAAGGAGAAGGAGTGGGTCAAGGTCAACGGCGGCCGCCGCGGCGGCGCGTGAGCCTGTTGCCTGTTGCCCGCGCTGGTATGTGCCCTGTTCTGTTCTGTGCACTCTGTGACAGACTCTGTGCGCCGCGCGCGGCCTGCATTGCTCCGCTGCTTTAGCCTTTAGCTCCGTGCACTCTCTGGCTCTCTGGTGCAGCTTGTGCTCTGTGCTGTGGCTGCTGAATCGGCTGAGTTAGACGCGCTGCTGGCTGCTGCAATGCAGCAGGCTATGCCAATGCGCGCCAATGGCCAAGGCGCCTGCGCCCCTGCGCTCTCGCCAGCCGGCCTAGGCCCTGGACCCTGTAATAATTGCGGCCCGGAGGGCCGCGCCGTGTGTAAGCCAGCCTGAGCCTCGAGGGGGAGGGGAAGGGTGAGGAGGGATGAGGGACGACGATGAGGAGGAATGAGGATGGATGATGAATAAGGAGGATGGGGCTCTAGGCTGTCGTTCCCACGCTTGCTATGTTTTGCCAATTCAATTCTGGCGCCTGAGCTTGAGCTTGTAGCTTGTGAGTGACTCGCCTCGCAAGTCTCGCTCGAACCGACCTCCTCGGCCCTGCTTCCTCCCCCCCCCGTGTCCAGTGTCCCGCTCGATTCGTAGAACGTAGGACTAGGCCATGGGCCATGAGTCCATGAGCCATGAGTGAGCCGCGTAGGCGTCGGCGGCCGGCGTCGTCGAACGTGCGTTCGATCGACGAACAAACGTCGATTCGGTCATCATATCATCATTCATCTTCGTCCGCCATAATCACCGTCGTCATCACCTTCGCCATTGCCATCACCATCGGCCATCGTCGATCGATCGATCGATCGATCGCTCGATCGCCATCGCCATCGATCACCATCGCCGTCGCCATCGTCATCGCCATCATCGTCGCGGTGGTGGGGGGCAGCGGCAGCTTCTGAGGCGGCCTCTGGGGAGCCGCCCGGGGAGCCTGGCCCCCCGTCGAGAGGCGGGCGCGTTCTGACTAGGATTTCGAGGCGATCTCAGCCGTGGCGACAAGGGGCGGGCCTCAGTGAGGGCCACCAAAAAACGTTTCGTCGTCGCCGCCGTCCGTCGTCGCCGCCGTCGCCGCCGCCCCCAGGAGGAGGCCCCCAAAGAAAATAAAAGAAGGCCTCAGGAGGCCCGAGGAGGGAGGCCCCCAAAGGAAAGAAAATTGCCGCCGCTGGTCGTCGTCGTCGACGCCGCTGGTCGTCGTCGCCGTCGCGCCTCCTCTCCTCCTCCGGCCCGCGCGCGGGGGGGTCGTCGTGGTCGTCGTCGTCGTCGTCGTCGTCGTCGTCGTCGTCGTCGTCGTCGCCGCCGCCGCCGTCGGACCGTCGTCGTGCTGTCGTCATTCGTCATTCGTCGTTCGTCGTTGCCGTGGGGCGCGTTCTGATTGGGATTTTCGCTCGCCGCCGTCGTCGGACCGTCGCCCATGACTCATGGGCGTTCTGACTTAGATGTCGAGGCGATCCCAGAATCCCAGCCGTGGCGACGAGCGACGTCGTGTCGTCGTGTCGTCGGTCATCGTGTCACGTCGTCGTCGTCGGTCGTCGTTGAGTCGTCGTCGTCGTCGTCGCCGCCGTCGTCGTTGCCGCCGTCGGCTGTCGTCGAGTGGTGGGCGCGTTCTGACCAGGATTTCGAGGCGATCTCCGCCGTGGCGACAACGGACGAGGGGGGCCTAAGGAAGCCCCAGAAGAAAATTGCCACCGCCGCTGGTCGTCGCCGTCGCGGCGCGCGTGGGGGGGGGTCGTCGGTCGTCGTCGTCGTCGCCGCCGCCGTCGTCAGTCGTCATTCGTGGTTCGGCGTGTCGTTCGTCGTTGCCGCGGGGCGCGTTCTGACCAGGATTTCGGGTTTCGAGGCGATCCAGCCTCGCCGTCCGACTTCTGACCGAAATTCCGAGGCGATCCCAGCCGTGGCGACGAGGTCCGAAGAGGGGAAGAGGGGGGGCCCTCAGGAGGCCCCGAAAGCTGGCTCGCCGCCGTCGCCACCTGTCGTCGTCGTCGCCGCCGCCGCGCCGCCGTGGAGGTGGAGGAGGAAGAGGAGGAGGACCTCCTCCTTCTCCTCAGCCTCCGCCTCCGTGGAGGTGGAGGTGGAGGAGGAGGAGGCGGCCGTCGCCGTGGAGGTGGAGGAGGTGGAGGCTCGAGGAGTTGCTGCTGCTGCTCCTCCTTTTCCCTCCTCCGAGCCTCCCCCCCCCCCTCCTGCTCCTCCCTCCCCCGGAATTCGGAACTCCTCCCCGTATCGTTCCCCACTTGCCCTCCCCCGTCCTCCATCCCTCGCCCTCGCCTCTTTCTTCGTTCCCGTTCCCTTCTCCTCCTCCTCCTCGGCCTCTTTTTTTGTTGTCTGTGGCCACACGCACACTCGGGCGATCGGGCGATCGGCGATCGGGCGGCCATCGGCCACACTAAGTCACTAGGTTACCTAAGGTATCAAGAAGACATTGCTGCAGGACGCTGGCGTCTCGGAGGAGCAATTCCAACAGAAGGCGCAGGCTTTGTTGAACCGCCTGCCCCACCACCCCGCGATCCCCTTGGACGAGTTCCTCCTCCCGGACGGCCACCCCATCTTAAACAGCTACTTGGGGTCCCTAGACGTGGACCAGCCGCAGAAAAAGAAACCGAAGAAGGCGGCGGCACCCCCCTTGTGGCCTGGGAGACACGCCGCGTGGGATAACAAGTCTGATAAGGAATGGTGGCAGGCTTCGCCGTTCCGCGATGAAGGTGCGCTCATACGGCATCCAGGTTTGAAGGCGTTGTGCCCCAGACAGCTCGACATGTTGGAGAGGCTCAACTTGAAGTTGCCAGAGGATGAACCCAGCACCGTAGATGTCAATATGTCCCTAGGGCGTTCCCGTGAGCTCATCAAGCAAGGGTCGGCGTGCCTCGCCGAAAAGAGTTTGGTATATTTAGCTCATAAGGCCAGGCTTGCCCACGGAGTGGAACATATGATGATGATGGGCTTCCTCATCGATGAAGTTTACGGTCCGCAGGGGGACGATATCGTCAAGATTTTGATGGGGTTCAGTTCTTCGCTTCTGACAAACATGGCGGGCAACGCTTTCGACGCATCCGCCTACATGGTCGCGATGATTGTGCAGAGTGTGATCCTTGGCGAGTTGTCGCTGCGCATCGCTGCCACTCATGAATCTGTGCGTATTATGCAGAAGTCTCAGAAAAGACAGGTCATTGGGTCCTTCAAGCTCATGGGCGCTACAGCGACAGCAACGAGAGCGACGATGACGACTCCGAGGACGCTGGTGGAAATGCCCGCGCAGCTTTGGCAACATCTTCCAAGTAGGCCGGAGTCTGGAGCATACTGGACAGGCTTTGGAGCCACCGGGCTTCTCTAGCATAGCATGGCCAGCAAGAAATAAGGGGAGAGAGAGAGAGAGAGAGAGAGAAACAAAAAAAGAAAACAAACCAGAGAGAATAGAGAGAGAGAGAGAAAGAAAGAGAGAGAGAGAGAGAGATAGAGAGATAGACTGAGAGAGAAGGAGAGAGAGAGAGAGAGAGAGAGAGAGAGAGAGAAAAAAAAAAAAGACTTCGAACACTCCGATCTATTCAAAGGCAATAGTGGCCGAGCTGTCAGCTAGGGGCCCGCAGCGGGCCCCACCTCCGTCAAAGTTTCACCGTCTTGGGGGGTCCCGGGGGCTCGGAATCTCGAGCCGAGCCGCTCTGTCAGAGCATGCGGGAGTTGGAGTTGAGCAATTTTACTCCCCCCTCCTCTCCCCCTTCTCCGCCCTCCGCCTCTCCCCCCCCTCCTCCTCGTCTCCTCCTCGAGCTTGAGCTCCGTGCCTTGGGCCAGGGGGATCAGATCATTGAGTGGCGCGGGCCCTCGCAGCAATTCTCGACGCTTCGCGCGTCCCCGCCAGTCCACCGCCCACCCAGAAACAAAAACAATCGGAGGGTCTTTTGCAACCTCTTGGAGGCTATCTTGCGCCATGCTCGACTCTTGACTCTTGACTCTTGGGTCTTGGGCCATCTTGGAGCTGTCTTGAGGCCCTCTGGAGGTCTGCTGGAGGCTATATTGAATCACGCTTTGCTCTCTTGGGCCATAATGAAGACCATCTTGGACTATCTGCTATCTGGGGCCCTTGTGGAGCCATCTAGCCATCTCGGGCCCAGAAGGGCGTGGTAGGTTGCGAGGCGCGCTCTCTTGATCGCCCAATCCCCGCTGCCACCATTCTCGAGTCTTGTGGCGAGGTAAGTCCTCGGCAACGGTTCTTGTTTTTGTTTACAAGTTCCAGATCCTACGGGTTGCCGGGCTCCAGCGATGCCTTTGTCTGATTCAGGCAGCGCGGGCTCCTCCAAGGAGAAGTTTTGCAAGTGGTGCGGCCAGTCCAGCCTCGACGTCGAGTGGACTCGCGGCGGTCAAGGATGCACACGCAGGAAATGCCAGAGCTATCTGCAGTGGAACTGCAGCGACAAGGACGACAAGGCGAAGCTGGAAAAGAAGATCGAGACTGGAGGAGCGGAGGCGCAGAAAGAGTTCAGAGAGGAGCGGGGCGGCAACTCTTGCGAAGACGGTTCACGGCGCCCCAAGAGGCCCAGGAAATCGATATCGACGAAGAACGTTCTCAAGATGGAGGGCAAAATGAAGTGTGGGGTTTTCTGGCCAAAGCACATCTACGAGAAACACTTCAGCAAGAAGTTGCCGCCGAGCGCCGAGACCTCGTACAAACATGGTCACGCCGAGCTCAAAGGAATCGTACTCTCATCGTCGATCCCGTTCGTTGATGGGTGCATTGAGCTCTCTTCGACATCTGCCCAGGAGGTTCACGTGCACACGGAGCTCCCTGCGAACGACCCTGACAGTGCGTTCAAGAAGGTGGCCAACAAGTTGAAGCCTACAATAACCGAGTGCAACGACAGTAGTAAAGCGGCCGGGGATGCGAATGGCAACTACCTGAACGTCAAGCTGTCCTCCGGGAAGAGGAGGAAGAGGGGTGAAGACAGCGACGATGAGGATTACGACCCCTACGACGCTCTTTTCGGGCCCATTCTCAGTGGTAAGAGCAGCAAGGGCCAGGCTGGCCAGGGCAACGTTGGCGGTGAAGGTGGTGACGACGATCAGCCGCATCCAGGTCGTCGCCCTGGTGGCGGAGGCGGCCGCGGCGGAGGCGGCGGCGGCAGTGGCTCTGCCGGCCCAGGAGGAGCTGGAGGCGGCGACCGCAAGAAGCGAGCAGACGCCGAGCAGCTCGCAAAGACAGTCTTGTTGGAGAGCCAGGGCGTGATCACGAGGCTCGAAGACGAGCAGATGGTCCACGGCGTCACGACGGCCAACGTGATTACGATCAAGAAGAAGTTGAACGCCGCTCTAGGACCCGATAAGATTAAGATTCTCACGGCGGGCTCGGAGGAGTTGATCACTGGCGCCAGCGGCACCGTGGACAACATCGACAGGCTCCTCGGCGAGCTCAACGATGTCAATTCCAAGATCGATGCAGCTGCGCCTTTGGTCGCCAAGCTGCAGTCCAAGGGGGAGGAGCTGGGGGTCGAATCATTATTTATCATTGGTTTCTCTACGACTCACCCAAGACCCTAGATTCATATCTGCGCAGCACAGAGAGAGAGAGATTACGATATACACATCTACAAATCTACAAGGTAACCCAACGGGTCGAAGCGGGGGAACTGCCCCCTCATTCCTCATTCCCTTTCTCCTCCTCCTGAGCCCTGGCACGGGCTGCTTCTTTGATGTCTTCGCCCACCCCTGATAGGAGGACGGCGAATCTTTGCTCGAGGCCATGTCATCCGCGCGTTCCTCAGGATTGCGAGTTCCAGAATCACTGACGTTTTCCGTGCTGAATCGTGGCCTGTCCAAGGCCGCTGGGGACAAGGACTACGAGCGCGCCGCGGCGGTGGTGCAGTGGGGCAGCAGTGGCGCGAGTGGAGCAGGAGCAGGAGTCTCTTTGCAGGTTCAGGTTCAAGATCCTCTGAAGGCTGCTGTCATCCAGGAAAAGTTGATCATGCGGCAGCTCCTCGACACAGTCAGAACGACGGACACTGGCAAGCCTGACTCAGTTGAGGCGATGATGAAAACGCTCCAGGGGCTCTCTACAGTGAAAATCATCGAGGACGTCCAGGACACCAGCACATTCAAGCCCCAATTGGACGACATGGCCAAGATGTTGAGATGCATGCCTGTCTTCAGCGACAGCCTTGAAGTCGGGGCGAGATCCGCTGCTTTGACGGAGGCAGCGGCTGCGAAGACTAAGATTTCTGAGGATCGCAATCACAGGTTCCACAAGATATTCTTCTTTCTGCCCGCCGGGCGGCACATCACGGCAAGGATCGACGAGCAGGTGTTGCAATCCAAGCAAGATATCCAGACCTCGCAGAATCTTGACAAGCTGGTCACGTCGATCACCAATGTACCATTATTCACGCCGAAGGAAGACGCAGATCTCCGGAGCCCTATCACGATCGACAACCGCAAGAATCTCAAGACGTTCTGCATCAACGTTCTCGAGCTCGATGGGAAGCTCTCGGAAGAATACAAGCAGGTCAACGCGACGAAGATGAAGCAAGTCTTCGATCATCGGGATGCCATCGTCGAATCCATCGTTGCGTACTGCAGGTCGCGCCAGAAGCTCGCCCTAGAGGACGCGGTCAAGAGAGTGAACCAAGTCTTGAGACTCACGGACGGGCTCAACGGCAACGTCGACGGCGAGATTGCCACCCAGATCGTTGAGTTATTCGAGAGGGCGCTCTCCGAGTTCGCGCCGCTGAAGCAGCTCGGCATCAGCGACATTTTCGGCACGGAGAAGACGAAGCAGATCGACGAAGTCTTTCAGGCGGGCAAGGTGGCCGTTCAGCACATCAAGGAGATGATCCCCTCCATCGTCGAGGTCTCCAAGAAGAAGTCGCCCTTGGATGTCAGGACCTCCCAGCTCAAGGGCTTGGCGGAGTGGTTTGTGCAGCTCGGGCCAACAGGCTCACGCGTGGCAAGTTGGTCTGGGACGGAGACCTACAAGTTCGAGAAGTGGCTGAAGACCGAGGTCACGAGAGTTCTCATCGCGAAGGTCGTGCAGACGATTACGCCCTTCCAGAGGTTTGGCGTTCAAACTTGAAAAGCCACGTGCCCTGATCTAGGACACTCTTAGGGGCGCGAAGATATCGCGCTTCGCGTCGCGGAGCGCGCCGGAGACCTGGTCTTATCTTCTCCAAGGGGGGCCCCCGAGGGGCGAGGGCGAGAAAATAATCGCGAATCGCGGGGCGCGATGCGCGAAGTTAGGCGACCCAGCTGATGCAGGCAATTTGTTTTTGGAAGTGGGTTCCCAAGCTTCCATCCAGGTCGGGCCCGTGACCCTGGAGTAGCTGTAGGTTGTAGGCAACTCTTGCCCCTCCCTACCTCAGGACGCGAAGGTTCACTGACCTTTGTTGGGGTACTTGAGTTTCGTGGGGGCCCCTGCCCCCTCGGCCCTCCTCTAGAGTTGAATCTTAAATCAAGTGGCCCCTGTAGTTTCGCGAAGCGGGTTGCCGAGTGGCTCGACAAGACCGCGGAGCAGCAGGGGGGTGTTGATCCAACAGAGGCTATACTTCAGGATTCGACCGCCTTCGCGAAAGAGATCTTTGTCAAGGATCAGGTTGGCGAGGTCACCGAGTTGGCAAGCCTCGCCCGCTTGGACGTTCACTTCGACAAATACGCCAAGTGGCTCGGCGTGGGCTTCAACTGCAGCACCGCGCCCGTTACGATCCGTGCCGGCCTGCTCATCTTGTCCCAGCCGATCTTGCACGTGGGTCAGCGAGTGGTGAGGAGCGAGGAGTTGTCTAAAACCTTTGCCCAGGCTGAGTTGGCTGCAAAGGGTGATCCGCACATCAAAGCAATCCAGGAAGTCCACTCCAGCGTTCAGTTTGTCGTCCTCGCGGAGAGGATGGTCAACTCGGTGAAGTCTTCTGAAGGCCTGGGGCCAGGTGTTCTTGAAAGGGCGCTGTCCATCCTCAAGGTAAGCCGCGAGCGGTTTCAGGCCGCAGTCTCGGCGATCATCGACTCGGCAATCAAGGCAGGTGACAAATTGATTGTGGATCTGAAGCAGCTGAAGGCGACTGAGGCGTTGTCTAAGTTGTGCAACCTCAGCGCCGAGGGTGACTTCACCACCGAACGCATCCAGGTCATCATGGACATTGTCAAGAACGATGATTCCGTGAAATTCTACAGAACCTTCAAGAAGTCCCAGAAGGCCAAGATCTGCTTGGATAACATTCGCAACAACAGCATCACCGTCAAGGACGTGATGGGCATCGAGCTCGCCGTTACCAAGCTGAACACGTGCATCGACACTTACTCGGACGAGGAATACGCTGACTACAATAACATGATGGGGATTCTGCTTTGCTCGCAGACGATCTGGCGGGACCTTCAGCCCGGCGAGTCTCGCGACGCCCTGGCCGACCAGTGCGCGAAGACCGTCCAGGACCTCACCATCCCGGCCCCGCTTGCGATCGCGCTGAAGCAGCTCGCGACCAAGGGCGCCAAGGACGAGACGGGCAGTGACCAGCCTTCGCAGCCGGCGCCCTCGGATCAGGGCTCAGTTTAAGTGCAGCAGCTATCTTGGAGCACCAGGAGGAAGATGAGGAGATACGAGGATGAGAAGCCAGGAGTTAGGATGAGGAGTTCGGTGAATGATCCAAGATGCGATGACTGTAAGTCTAGTGCCACAGTGTGTGCCCAGTCTTCGGCCGCGAGGCGGCTGGGGTGGCCATCAGGTCGCGGCGTGGGCGCCGAGTGGCAGTGTTTTCCTGTCGTGGACAGAGCCAGCTCTAACGGTTGGAGCCAAGAGTGCGGATTTTCCTCCTCCCTCCTCCTTCTTCACTCGCCCTCCTCATCTTCCGACCCCTCCCCCCTCCTCCAAAACTAATCCTCCCCTCCCGTCGCGGCCGTTACTCATCGCTAGTGGGTCCGTTGCTTGCCTCGCTTTGTTTGAGTTACCTCCAGCGTCGAGTTCGCTACTGTACTACTGTGGCCGGGCGGCCGAGCGTCTGCGGCGACCGTAAAAGCTTGAAAAAATGAAGCTCTTGTGGCCATTTTGGAGGCTTTGGTTTCTTAACAACCACCTCGCCAGTGGGATCGATAGTGAGATCAATCGGGAGGTCGATCGTGAGATCAATTAGGAGACCAATGGTGAAGTCGAAAGTGAAATCGTTCGCGCGATCGATCATGGCATCGATAGTGAGATCGATAATGATGTTGATGTCATTGGTGTGAGATCGATGGTGAGATCGATCGCGAGATCGGTAGTCAGATCGATCGCGAGACCCCACAGTGGAATCGATCGATCGGGAGGTCGATCGTTTGAGGTGTTGGGTCCTCTGCCCCCCTCAACCTCCTTATCCCCCGAAGGGTGGTCGAATAGGTAAGCCACGGCATGGGCGCGAAGCATAAGCGGCAGGTAAGCGGCACGGGCGCAAAGCATAAGCGGCAGGTAAGCGGCACGGGCGCGAAGGATAAGCGGCAGGTAAGCGGCAGGCGCGCGAAGCATAAGCGGCAGCATAAGCGGCAGGGCGGGGGAATAAGCGGCAGGAGGCTCTAAGCAAAGTTACAGGGAGGCCGCCCCTAATGAAGAATGGGGCCCAAGATGGATGCGCATATCAAAATGATGGGGGACGCCATGCAACTGCATCCTGGCAGGCCGAGCCCAAACCGCGGAGGATCGAAGGCCCGTGTGAACTCCGACGCCAGCTTTGGCGACGCAGATAAGCGCAGCGCCACGCGGGACACAGCAGTGTCGCCTCCAATCCTCGGGCGCCGCTTCGCCCAGCGGATGCGGAGTCAGCAAGTGCGACTTCATCAAGAAGGCCTTCGGCATCAGCCCGCCCCCCCAAGCCTGCGATGTAGGAGCGCGTCGCCATCAGCCCGCAAACGGTTCCCTCGTCGCAAGACGCGGTGCTCGAGGAACCCGAGACCGCGCACGGGGGGAAGACCGCGTTGCGACGGGAGGGGGAGGGAGGAAATATTCCAAAATGCCGCCGTCGGCTTTAGAAGCATGCTGTTTCCGACCCCCTCCCTCGAGGAGCAATCGTAAACCCCCGCCAAGGGTGCGCTGTGTACATTGTCCGACTTCAACTCCGATCCGGTGTGCATGGTGATGGAGCACGCAGGTAGGGACGACGAAAGAGTCTTTCCGAAAGAGGGATAAAAAGGCAAAAAAAGCGACGGCTTCTGGAAAGCCGTGTTCTCCGACGTCAGGACAGAGAAGACGGAACAGCCCAATGCCCTCTTGGCAGCGCAAGCCGCTGCACGGTCGGCAACCAAGAGAAACCCCGCAGCAGCACCAAGCAGGAAACCGCGACAGCCAACAAAAGGCCCGCAGCAACTGACAAGAGTAAACCCGCTGCGCCCGAAAAAAAAAACCGAAGATGGAGACGATCGATGACGAAGAGGGGGGGAAAAAGAAGAGCAAGCCGAACGCATTGGTCTCGTAGACGAGGAAGCACCAATTCATCATGCCGTTCCTGCGCCTCCAGCGCTTCCGTGCGATACTGAGCAAGGAAACGCCTTGATGCGGCACAGCAGAGACTACATGGTCGGAGTGAAGCGGAATCACGGCGAGAAGAACCAGCTTGTGAGCATCGGCGGTACGCGGTACCAAGAGTCCCTAGCCAAGAAAAACAACATGGATATCGGCGACGAACTGATTGCGAACATGAGCGTCGGCACCGTACGGGACACCAAAGAGGATGCAAAGGCCGAGGTTGTACGGTTGGATGCGTTGCGCGCGGGCGACTCACAATGAATGCGTCGTCATCTGAATATCTATCGTCATCGTCATCGCCGTCGTCGTTGCCGTTGCCGTCGGCAGAACGTCCACAGAAAGGCTGGCCCTCCATATTGAAAATGCACGTCGCGATTCCCTCTGTGAGAGAGGCCCCTTCCAGAGGGAACACAGCACGGGTGTGGAACCATTGCGGAATTTATCTGCGGGTCCCCCAAAATAAACGACTCCCCATTTCGTGCCGCGATTTACATACGATTCTTCCTTGTCGCCCATGATGGACGCATACAATCCAAGGCAGGCCGGTACTGGTATGGGCTTACATTCGCTTATCAAAAATCAGCCGCTGTCAGAAATCACTTGCAAAAGACGGGGCGAAGTCCCCATGCACGTGTCGTGGAACGCGCATGCCGGAGTCCTTCAACAACTGTAAATATTGCAAAGTTAATCAAAATATGCGGTTGGAGAAAAACACCTGCTAAACACACACATGTTCAAGGAATGATTACGCCGGAATTCTTGCGATGTTTTGGGACAGCCATCGGTTTTTCAACATATTCGTAAATGCAACAAACCGGGCCTCTCGCGCGCGCATGTCGGAATCGTTCGAACGCCCCCGCGCGCTTGTTATCGCGAGAACCCATTCTGCGGTAAAACAAAAAACATGAAGTGCACACGCGCGCGGCGTCGCGCGCGAACGCCGGAATCCCCTTTTTCAAAACTTTGGTCCCGCCCGGATTTCAAAATCGAGCGCCCGGAAAACGTATAAAAACACCGTTTTGTTGTTCAAGACATTTTTCCAAACGGACCCCTGGCACCGCATGCCGAAATCATTCGAACGTCCTGGCGCGCCAGCTGGGGGGGCACGATCCGTTTCAAATAATACCACGCGGGCCACAGTCGCGCATGCCGCGCGCGCGTGTCGAACTGCTTCCAAAACCTTCATCACCGACGCGAAGGCGCCGTCATCGTCGTCGGCGTGATCAGCATCGGCGCCGTCACTGGCCTTGCCGTCGTCGGTGTCACCTTGGCCCCCACATCACTACTTCCATCGTTGTGTCTACTGTTGTCGACGTTGCCATCGTACCGCGCCCGACTCACACTGAAGTGCCCGCTGTGATGTGCCCAGCGGTCAGCACCGCGGCCGCGTCGGTCGCGCCAAACTAGCTGGCCGCTGCGCGCGCGAGCATGCGCGGGCTAGCGCGGTCCCAGACTGCACCAAGCCAACACCAAGCACCCATCGCAGTTGCCTCCGCACGGATGTTGCGAACCAATTTGCGGGTGGGTGGGTGAGATAGTGTCGCGAGCCGTGGAGTTGCCGTGGAATTCACAACCCACAGCGAACATAAATTAATCGCACGACAGCTGTCGCACCGCATGGATTCTCCTTTCTAACCAGAGAATGGACTCTTCCCCCCCTGGAGTTATCGCCCCCCCCTTTTCTGGTATGTAAACGGAAGGATTTCAGAATCGTGTCCAAAAAACGTACAAAACACATGGTTTCGCAACACGGGTTTTCAACAAAAGCGTGCGCGCGCGCTCTTGCGGCGTCGTCGTCGTCGTCGTCGTCGCCGTCCTCCCTCCTCCGTCGTCATCGTCGGCGTCGACGTTCTCTGTCTTTCCTCGTCGTCGTCGTCTTCGTTGGCGGCGTCGTCGTTTCCGTCGTCGTTGTCGCCGTGGTCGTCGTTTCCTCTTCCCTCGACGTCGTCGTCCGTCGTCGGCGTCTCGTCGTCGACCCTCCTATTTCGTCGTCGTCGTCGTCATCGTCGTCGTCGTCGTGTTCCCTCCTCCTTCGTCGTTGTCGTCGCCGTCCTCCCTCCTCCCTCGACGTTGTCGTCGTTGTCCTCGTCGTCGTCCTCCTTCCTCCCTCGTCGTCGTCGTCGTCGCCTTCGTTGGCGGCGTCGTTGTCGTCGTCGTCGTCGTTGTCTTCGTCGTCGGCGTCGGCGCCGTCGTCGTCGGCGTCGTCGTCGTCGTCGGCGTTGTCGTCGTCGTCGTCGGTGTCGTCGTCGTCGTCGTTGTCGTCGTTGTCGTCGTCGAAATCATTGGAGACGTCGTCGGTGTCGTCGTAGTCGGTGTCGGCGGCGCCGTCGTCGTCGTTGTCGCTGTCGTCGTCGGCGTCGGTGTCGTGGCCAAGGGCCATGTGGTACCTGCCGTCACGGTCTTGTCTTAAAAGGTCTTGCGGCCAAGTTGCGGGTGGGAGGGTGGGATGTTTGCACGAGCAGTGGAGAGGACAGCTTCAAGACGGTCAAAGTGAATTGCACCACCTAGGGTGCACCTCGTGCATTTCACCACGCTAGTTGCACCACGTGGATTGCACCAGATAAAACGCACAACGAATATTGCACACAATGGATCGCACAGACTAGATTGCACACAAGTTGCACAACATAGGTTGCACCACACACATTGCACCACATTGATTCGTTCCTATTATAAAAAAGCCCCCCCCGGGGTATCCCACCTTTTTCGAATTTCAATGTACATATGGTTCTGCCCCACCACCCATCCTAACAATGAGCTCGTGCCATCCCAGCTAAGCCGCTACCGAACCCTCCCCCTTCATCCTCTGGATAAGCACTATGCGCGCGCACTCGTTTGTCACGAATCATAAAGCGTTCAAGAACCCCCTGCAAACAAACAACTGTACGAAGTGCACACGCGCGCGTCATGGCGTGCGCATGCCGGAACCCTTCAAAAACTCAAGGTTGCGCATGGGTCTACAAACCGAGTAACCAACAAACAAATAAGAATATGTGTTTCGCAACAAAGACTCCTCCCCCTCCAACGAAAGACTTGCGCTCGCGCTTTTGCAAATTCCCGTGGAA